CGGTCGCACCCTCCGGCCCCACCTCCTCCCCCAGTCCCCCCTTCCTCCCAGGCACCCGCTCCTCCACAGCCGCTCGAACTGATCACGTACAAGCGGCGGCCAATTCCCCCGCCCAAGCCTCCTAAGTCAATCCCTCAGACACCGCCTGCTCCGCCCTCCTCTCTGGTAGCCCATGGCACTCGCTCGCACGGCCCTGCTCCTCCTTTAGTGGGAATATACGCTCAAACCCTTAAGCGTATAGTGTATACACGCTAGCGTGTGTACGCAAAACGCAATACGCTAGCTAATACGCTATACGCTATCAGAAATTTTTTCGGGCTGCCCAGGGAAAAAAATCGCTTGTATACAGAAAGATGCGGAATCTTCTGCTGAGCATTTCGCGTAAGTCGAAATGCAATTTGACGGTCTAGGGAAGCGGGAGTGGGCCTTCGAAGTTGCAGGCAGTTCAAATTTGAACATTAGATTGGTACCGCATTGGAACCCATATTACCTACAAATTCCAACCTGTCAAAAACGTCCCCCACCAAACCCCACTCACGCTACTTACCAGCCAGCAAAATTCCAGTCGTCATTTCTAGTTGGCATTCCCGCTTTCTAACAGCAGAGCTCCTTCCAATTCCTACCTACTTCTCCTTTTAGTGTCTACTCCACGTCCCACCCCAATCGCCGTTCAGACTTAGGGAACTGCTACGAAAGTCTTAATGAGAATAGGGATTACCTTCTTAATCTTGAGCACAACGTTTGTTTCACCCTGCCCGGGATAGTTTTTTACCTGCCCGAAAAGCGTATTACCAAATCGACCCTTAAGCGTTTAGCGTATATACGTTAGCGTATATACGATACGCGTATATACGCTATAAGCGTATATTCCCACTAAGGCTCCTCCTCTGGCCTTGGCTATTCGTTGCTCCACAGTCACTTCGACTCCTCCTGCCGGGGGGGATGTGCCCTCTACCCTTCTTGAAGATAGGCATGAGGAGCTTTATGATATTCACACAGTCATTCCCCAGCTCTCGCACATCTTCCCTGACATCACTGGATCACCCTCACTCAACTTCACGGAAAACCCGACCATCCCTATCCCTCTCACCGTCCAAGAGGCTCTCTCAGGCCCTCATGCTGTCGAATGGCGTGCTGCCATGGAAGCGGAGATTGAAGCATTCACCCGCAACCACTCCTTCGACGACGAGACTCCACCTCCAGGAGTCAACATCGTCGGGGGCAAGTGGTTGTTCCGTGTAAAACAGCTCCCAGACGAGGCCCCGGTGTTCAAAGCGCGTTACGTAGCCAAGGGCTTCATTCAACAGCAGTACTGTGACTTCTTCCTAACCTTCTCCCCCACATCCAAACATCCCACCATTCGTACGCTCATGAATGTCGCAGCTCGAGAAGACTTTGAGATCAAATCCATGGATGCCTCATCCGCCTTCCTACAAGGACGTCTCAAGGAGACAGTGTTCATGGACAGACCTGAAGGCTTCCCAGGAGAATTCGCTCCCAACACTGTCTGGAAGGTGAATCGCCCCGTCTACGGCCTTAAGCAAGCCCCTAGCGAATGGCACAACAAGGTGAAAGAAGTCCTCCTCTCCCTGGACTTCCACCCTTCATTTGCTGACCCGACTCTCTTCATCCGCCGTCATTCTGAGCCATTCTACATCCTGGTCTACGTGGATGACTTCATCCTCGTTGCCAAGGACTCGGCCCAAATGACCTCTGTCCAGGCAGCCCTGAGCAAGGCCCTCCAGATGAAAGACCTCGGTGACCTCAAGCACTACCTGGGGATGGAGATCACTCGTGATCGCCAGACTCGCACCATTTCACTCTCCAAGGAGTTCTACATCGACAATGTGCTCAAGCGGTTTGAGATGGAGCTGTGCACTCCTGTTGCCACCCCGCTGCCGCTGCAACACATCCTCACAGCTTTAGCTTTACCCACACCAGAGGCCTGCTCTAAGCCATACCCGGAGCTTGTTGGGTCCCTCATGTACGCCATGATGTGCACCCGGCCGGACTTGGCCTATCCTGTCAGTGCCCTCTCTCGCTACGTGGCCCCTGGACGCTTCACTGATCTTCACTGGAAGGCGGCGAAGCGGGTGCTGCGCTATCTTCAGGGCACCAAGTCTCATGTTCTCACACTCGGTGGGCTCTCCCCTCCTCGCCTCGAAGGTTACACCGACTCCTCCTGGGCTGATCACCAGACCGACCGACGCTTCTCTCAGGGGTACTACTTCACCCTTGGGAGCGGAATTATCAGTTCGCGCTCCACCAGGTCGTCTGCAGTCTCCCTCTCCTCATGTGAGGCAGAGCTCTATGCAGGCACCATGGCTGCTCAGGAGGCCCGTTAGCTCACCTTCCTACTCCAGGAGCTCGGTTTCCCACAGTCTGCCCCCACCCTCTGGTGTGACAACCAGAGTACCATTCACATCTCTCAAGACCCTGTGTATCACACCCGCACCAAGCATATTGAACTCCGGCACTTCTTCATCCGTGACCTTGTCCAGCAGGAGCAGTTGAAAGTGGAGTACGTTGCATCTGACTGCATCCTGGCTGATCTGTTCACCAAGCCCCTTGGGAAAGTTCCCCACCACCGTCTCCTTGGCGCCATGGGGCTCTGTGCTCCACCCTCTCTGCCCTGAGTTCGATTGACGCCTATGGGGGGGTGTTAGTGTTAGCCTTCAATCTCACACTTTGTACTTTGTATTTTCTATATCCTAGAGAAGTGTAGTTTGCACATTGTGTTTGGTTGGGTGTATACCTACATCCCAACCAAACCCAAATGTAATCTCCAAGCAATCTCCAACCCACCAATTGGAGATTGCCTTGGGATTACCCCCAATCCCTGGGAATTGCCTCTGATTCTCTTCCCCAACTATTCCTTACCCTTTTTGGATGTACTTAAAGAGCTTCAAGCTCATTACTAATGCATCGCTTATAAGCCTAAGTTGTGACAAGAGGATGGGAGTGAGAGGATGGGAGTGAGAGGATGGGAGTAAGAGGATGGGAGCGAGAGGATGGGAGTGAGAGGATGGGAGTGAGAGGATGGGAGTAGAGGATGGGAGCAAGAGGATGGGAGTGAGAGGATGGGAGTGAGAGGATGGGAGTAGAGGATGGGATCGAGAGGATGGGAGTGAGAGGATGGGAGTGAGAGGATGGGAGTAGAGGATGGGAGCGAGAGGATGGGAGTGAGAGGATGGGAGTGAGAGGATGGGAGTGAGAGGATGGGAGTGAGAGGATGAGGGTGAGAGGATGGGAATGAGAGGATGGGAGAGAGGGGGTGATTGGCAGAGGGTGCCCTCCATCGTGCTGCAATTATAGTCTTTCTTCAAAAGCAATGCTCCATGATCACCAGCATCGACACGTTCATTGACATACCATCATTGACACACCATGAAACAGGCAACTCCGGAACTACAAGCTGGGAGGGCAGATTCCAAACTCCCTCAGCAGCCTCAGCAAGCTCACTTTTCTGTACGTCCTCAACGACATGCCGTCTTGACAACTTGCTGCAGGGAATCGGCACCCCACCCCACCTTTCATCCCTCAGCACAGCTACACCTCGTGTCGTTTCTCCAGCCCACCTCTCCCTCCTCCCGCCTTTCCCCATTTCTTGCCGCCCCCTACCAGTTCTGGCCTCCTCCTAAACCCCTTCCTACTTCGTTTCTCCCCTCACTCTCTCTATTCCCAGCCTGCTTACCTCCTCCAATCATCCCTACTCGGACTAGTGAACGGTCCTCATTTTGCAGAGCGTCGGTTCTGCCTAACAGAAGTCCGTGACCACGTGACCAGCTAAGTAGGCCTGATCAAATACTGAGCCAGGTCTAGGTTCGAAAAAGCATCGAGCCTAGCCTCTGATTTCTCGTTGCAGCTTGAGGTGAGCCCGCCGAGAGCCGCTCTCCCTGTTTATCGGCGCCTCGCTTTGACAAGCCAGCCAGCGTGCTTTCAGATCTGTTTAATCCAGTATTTGTCTTTTTCCTACATGATTACTTTCTCCCCTTCCACTCTTTAGGCCCGTACTTCCTCACATCACCATGTTCTCGTGACTCCCAGCCAACGTTCTGATACCGTGTCAGAACTTGAGCTTGGAATCCTTACAGTAGTAATGAGCTTGAAGCTCTTTAAAGCCCATAGGCAAAATAGTGACCCCCCCCTTTTAGTTGGGTCTACTGGAAATCTGAAACATAGTTTGTGTTGTTTTGGAAAGTTGAAGTGTTGACTTGTGAGTTTTTTTTTCCCCGTCTGTCATTTCAATTTCGACACAGTAGGGGTCGCAAGCATGTGCAAATGTATTCAAGCATGTGCAAATGTTTTGCAACGTTGCGACATGCAATTCTCATTGTGCAAGAGTGACAAATTCACATCGAGTGGTAGCATGTGCAATTCACATGGAACAACTGCCATGGGAAAAAAACATACGCGGGAAAAAGCATAGAGTTCCAAGGTGAAGGGAAGGGACGAGAGGGAAGAGCACGAAGGCGACGGGGCGAGAGGGGAAACAAGGAGGACGGGAAGAAGGGGGAAAAATGAGGGCTTCGGAAACAAGGAGGACGGAAAGAAGATGAGAGGGCATTTCGTGGCGAGCTCGAGGCTGGCGAGGTGGGTAATGGGAGGGAGAGAGTCAGGGCGCGATTGGGCGTTTCAGGGCGAGCGCAAAGGCGGCGAGAAGGGAGATCACGAGGGCGACGGGAGGGCATGGGATGGGCGAGCGCGAAGGCGACGAGAAGGGATGGGATGGGCGAGCGCGAAGGCTACAGGAAGGGGCGGGAAGGGTTTAGGCATTGGCGAGTGTGAAGGCGACGGGAAAGGACGGTGGGCGACGGGATTGGACGGAATGGGCAAGTGCAAAAGCGCGGGAGCGGGAGGGAAGGCACGAGGGCGACGGGACGGGACAGGAGAGCGCGGAGGCGATGGGAAGCGAGGAAAGACACGGGGTAGGCGACGCGAGGGTGTTTCGGAGGGGAGGCGAGAGGGGTGAGAGGGAGGGGGCGACGGGAATTGTGACGCTACGGGTGGGAGAGAGGGCGATAGGGACAAGTATGGTGATGTTGGGAGAGGGGGGGGAGAAAGCGAGCTCGACGGGAGTGGGGGGGAGAAAGCGAGCTCGACGGGAGACGGGGAGAGAAAGCGAGCTCGACAGGAGAGGGGGGGAGAAGGGCGAGAGGAAGGGAGAGAGGAAGGGCACGGGTAGTGCGTTGGAGGGCGAGTGCGAAGGCGACGAGGCAGGCGATGGGAGGAGAAAGTGGGTGGGGGGCGGGAGGGCGTTTTGTGGCAAGCGGGAAGGCGATGGGGTGGGGGATGGGGGGTGTGAGAGGACTTGTGCATCTAGGGCAACTGGAAGGGAGCCACGAGAGAGAGAGAGCGACGGGAAGGGAGCGACGAGAGAAAGAGCGACGGGAAGGGAGCGACGAGAGAAAGAGCGACGGGAAGGGAGGGGAGAGTTTCAGAGAGCGACGGGGAGGGAGGGGAGAAAGCGAGAGCGATGAGAAGGGAGGGGAGAAGGCGAGGGCAACGGAAAGGAGCGGCGAGAGAGAGAGAGAGCGACGGGAAGGAAGAGGAGAGAGCGAGAGCGACGGGAAGGGATGGGAGAGAGCGAGAGCGACGGGAATGGATGGGAGAGAGCGAGAGTGATGGGAAGGGAGGGGAGAAGGCGAGAGCAACTGAAAGGGAGCGACGAGAGAGAGAGAGAGAGAGAGAGAGAGAGAGAGAGAGAGAGAGAGAGAGAGAGAGAGAGAGAGAGAGAGAGAGAGATAGGTAGGGGACTTGGAATAGTGGTAGCCGCGGAAAACTGAGAACACGTTCGTGTGTTCTCAGTTTTCCGCGCATTGCCTCACGCAGGATCCTCGGGTCCCTGGACCAAAACTGCTTGGAAAGCTCCTCGTGGCCCCACACACCGCCAGCTGCAAGTTCGCCACCACCTCGCACGCCTCCGCCAGATTCAGAACCCGGCACATGGTCAGCATGGGGTCTCTCCCCGCGCGAGTGGGGAGAGGTGCAGTCTGCGCTTCGCGCGGAAACGCCGCCGGCCAGCCAGGAGTCCGGCCAACAGCCAAGCGCGGCGCAGAGAAGCCGGGAACCTGACGGGGGGTGCGGAACTGAGCCCTCCCCTCGCGCGCGGCCTGATACTCGCGCAGCGTCGGCGCACGCAGAGGAGCAACCTGGCCTGGGTCCGCGGCGAAGGGGGGACCGTTGGTCACCTCAATATGGACGTGAGTCGGCGCCCCACTCGCCCGGGCCTGCCTCACCACCTCCACGAACGTGTCCGCAGCATGATCGAGGGCTGGATCAGGCTGGTTGCCATTCCCGCCTCGCCCTCCGCCCTTCCGCCAGCCCCGCCGTCCCCCGGAACCAGCCGAATGTGGACGCGGGGGGGACTGCTCGCGGCGACCCGAATCCCAGCGACGACCAGGCGACCCCCTCCCCCGCGTCGCCGGAGATCGCCGAGGAGAACGTTGCGCGGGGGATCGCGCTCGCGGTGAGCGCTGGCCTGCCTGACCACGAGGGGATGGGCGGCGAGGGGAGCGAGGACGTGCAGGAGAACGCTTACCCCCCTCCCCGCGCTGATAGTGCTCGCGACGCTCAGGAGAAGGGCGGCGAGGAGAGGGCGGCTGTTGAGGGTGCCGCAGAGGCGAGCACCCGCGCTCGTGCCGCGGCTGACCGTCCGGGCGGTTCGACGCAACACGAGCAGGCGCCCACGAATACTCTGGCGAGGCGGGGCGCGCGGCAGGACGATGGGGAAGCGTTTGAACCCGCTCGAAGTGGTGCACGGGCTCGCTCGCGGAGGGGTGCGCAGGGAGACGCGGACGAGGCCCGGCAGGCGCAGGCTGCGGTAGCAAGCTCTGCGCGGAACCCTCCAGCTCCGGATCCCGTCTCACGGATGGGTCCATCACCCCCGATCTTACCGCAGCCGACGCCAGTGCGGCGACGAAGCGAAAACGAGACGGCCGCGGCGCCGCAGACAGGGCGCGAGGGAGCTGCTGTGGGACGAGCAACGCGGGGAATCCGCGTAGGACGCGGCAGCCGCCGCGGACGACGAGGCAACGAGAGAGGACGAAGAGGTGGTGGAGCACGAGGTTCGAACAGGCGCCGATCTGGTGCAAGCGGCTACGCGAGGAATGTGGAAAGGCTGATGCGATACGGCGCGGAGGGCGACGTGGAACCACTTAGCGAGGAAGCAGAGGAGGAAGCGGAGAATGAGGAAAGTGAAGAGGGGGACCCTGCCTTTAACCCTGAAAGCGAGGGGATGTTAGAAGCAGAGGCCGAGGAGGACGAGGAAGAGTTGGAGCTGCTGCGGGAAGCGGAGCTCCCAAACCAGCAGGCCAGAGGTGAACCTGCAAACCGAACCTCAGTTCAGAATCGAACCGCGGAGGGAATTCAAGCAAGGAGGGGAAATCGAGCCGCTCCAGAAGAAAGAATTGACTCTGCAACAGCCAATGAAAATTCCGCAGCCCCGAGTCCAACCCCCCTGATGCTCAAACCTGACGACCTGGCGAAAAACTCTGAGCTATTCGCTCAGGTTGCAGTCTGGGACCTCGACCCGCTGCGTGACAGTCGCCAACCTCCTCTCGCTCGCCACCCCCCCAAAGACCTTCGCGACTCCTTCGCGATCTGTATGTTGACGCCGTTACTCCACCTGGCGGCCAATCCCGAGTCTGCGCCAGGATGGAAACTACTGACCTTTCTCCCGCGCATACTCCTTCGCACCTCGTCAGCCCGTAAACCTGACTGGAGCGCGATGATGAATCGGCTCCTGCGATTTCGCCAAGGGCTCTGGGCGGACCTATACGAAGAAGCTGTCCAGGCGATTTCCTTGCCTCCGCAGCCTCGCCACTCACTCGACACAACTGGAATACTGGCACGGGCGGAAGGTCTGGCAAAACGGGGTAACCTGTCAAAATCACTCCAATCCCTCCAGGCCACCCCTGTGTCACCTGCCTCACCTGAAGTGCTGGAAGCCCTCGCGACGAGACATCCACCTGCCAGCCAGCTTCTCCCTGACTGGCTCCACACCGCCTCGGCTGAAGACCCACCCACTATCGAAGCCCGCGACTTCAGGCGCCTCCTCGCCAAGCTCCCCAACGGAGTCGGGGCCGGCCCCTCAGGAACCACTTTCGAGCATATCCGCGACGCAGCCCTAGGGAATGCCGAAGTACTCTCCCACCTCCTCGCCCTCTCCAACACAGCTCTAGCAGGGAAACTCCCAACAGCCGCGGGGGATCTTCTCACGGCCTCCCGCCTGCTAGCCTTTACGAAACCCCAAGGAGGGACGCGGCCAATAGCGGTGGGGGAGTGTCTCCTCCGGATTATAGCAAAGGCCGCCCTCTTCCTGACCGCGCCAGCCGCCCGTACTCACTTTGCCCCCCTTCAATTCGGCGTGGCAGTAGCAGGGGGGATCGAAGCGGCTATCCACACCGCTCGCACGTACCTGGAAGTGCACCCTGCTGCAGTGGCCTTGCAGATCGACCTCGCGAACGCTTTTAACGCGGTAGAAAGGAGAGTGGTGTTCGAAGGACTGAGAAACGAGGCGCTGAAGAAGCTGATCCCCCTCGTCCGCCTATCCTACGGGGCTCCCTCCTCGCTCTACCTCGACCACGACTTCGGCGCAGTCCCGCTGCAGAGCGCCAGAGGAGTTCGCCAAGGGGACCCGCTCGGCCCCCTCCTGTTCGCGGCAAGCATCCACCCGTGCCTCATTGCCACGGCGGCGGCACACCCTCAGGTGGTCCTGCTGGCGTACGCCGATGACATCACGCTGCTCGGCGACGCCTCGGCCTGCACAGCAGCTTTCGACCACCTCACATCCGCACTTGCCGCCCTCGGCCTGGTACACAACCTGGCCAAATGCGCGGCGTGGTCCGCCGCTCCAATCGACCCCTCTGCAGTGCCCCCGGGAATTACTATCTCTGATGAGGGACTGCAGATTCTCGGCAGCCCGGTTGGCACACCCCGGGGGTGCGCGGGCGCCGTGAGAGAGAGACTGGCAGTAGCAGCATCCCCACTCCCCCTGCTGGCCCAGATGGACCCCCAGCTTAGCCTCCTCCTCCTCACCCGCTGTGTCAGCCGCCGAGCCTCTTTTCTGGCCAGAACCACCCCCCTGGAAGCTCTCCCTGAAGCGGAATGGTCAGCTTGGGGGGAGCAGCTCCTACACACCTTCCTGGACTCGGCCCACATCATGAGACCGAGGAGTGCCCGGGAGAGGCGGAGGATTTGGCGGCAGGCGGCCCTGCCCGTGACTCTGGGAGGCCTGGGCATCACTGACCCCGCCGTTGAAGGCAGCTACGCTTACCTCGCTTCAGTGATCAGCGCCGCCCACCTTCTATACTCCCTGGAGGAGTCGTTACACCCTGCTGTCGCCGCGCTCCTCCCCCTACTGGACCCTACCCACGGCTCCCCGCACGCGCTGCCTGCACGCCTCGCCGCGGCTGAGGCAGCTCTCCCACCTGAGGCTCTCGAGGTGCTCCAGGCCGGGAAGACAGACCCCAAGGGACTGAAGCTGCAGCAGAGCCTAGCGCTGGCGGTTCACTCCCGCCGCTTCTTGAGGGCCATGCGCGAGGCAAGGCGGATGCGCCCCAACCCCCTTTCAGGCCATGCGCAACAGATGCAGTCGGTGCTAGGCCCAGGAGCGGGGGATTGGCTGCTGGCGATCCCGCTCATCCCCTCGCTCCGAATGGGCCCCTCCCAGCTCTCAACTGCAGCTGCCTTCCGCCTAGGCCTCCCCCTCCTAGTGCCTAGACGGTGTGACTGCCGCTACCGCACCACCTTCCCCGGCGACCGCCTCCCCAACCACCTCATGCGCTGCGAGAAGGGGAAAGGGAGGACCGCTACCCATCACGCTCTGCGGGATGAGATAGCCAATATCGGGGCTGAGGCGGGTTTTACGGTTCATAAGGAGACGTATGTCTACTCACCGGTTGAAAACCTAAAGGCGGATGTCACCATCCGTCATCCACTGACCGGGGAGGTTTGGATGTGCGACGTGACCGTGACGGACCCGATGTCATACCAGGACGAGAACTGCAACCGAGCTCCTGGTTGGGCAGCTAGGGCGGCAGCGGCAAAAAAGGAGGAGAAGTACGCACGGCAGAACACGTGGGTGGGGTTCCACGCGCTCGCAGTGGAAACATACGGCTACCCCTCGCCGGGGGTGCTGGCTTACCTGCGGCAGTGCGCGGAGCTGGCGGCAAAGCTGCGGTTTAACGCAGCCCCTACCTCCTACGAAGCAGCGAAGCTTCTGACGGAGTACCGCCAGCGTTGGAGCGTGTGCCTCCAGCGGGCACAGGCCAACGCCCTCCGCACCAAGACCAATGAGGCCTTGGCGGCGGACGAGCTCGGTTTTAGAGGACCCATCATCCCTCTCAGTGAGGGACAGCTGCACCAGTTGATTGAGGCCCCGTTCGACCAGTAGGGTCGGACAGGGGGGGGGGGCAGAGTAGGTAGGGGACTTGGAATAGTTAGGATGCCGGTTTTCTGTTGAGCCTGTGCTTGTGTGTTTTGCACCTTTCGTTGTACCACCCCCCAAAGAAATGCAAGGACCATTCGAGAGAGAGAGAGAGAGAGAGAGAGAGAGAGAGAGAGAGAGAGAGAGAGAGAGAGAGAGAGAGAGAGAGAGAGAGAGCGACGGAAAGGGAGGGGAGAGAGCGAGAGCGACGGGAAGGGATGGGAGAGAGCGAGAGCGACGAAAGGAAGAGCGACGAGAGGGCGTTTCAAATGTCGAGGCGAGCACATAGGCGGCGAGGTGGGTGACGGGAGGGGAGAAAGGAAGGGCGACGATAGGTCGTTTCAAATGTCGAGGCGAGCACATAGGCGGCGAGGTGGGTGACGAGAGGGGAGAAAGGAAGGGCGACGAGGAGGTTGACGATTGCCCTGCTGGCGGGAAAAATAGCACTGCGCTACTAGGTCACGTATTACTAAATCACACACTCATGCTAAGTCAATAACAAACGCGGTCGTCGATAATTTCGTGCCTATGACATAAGCACCTAAGTTTCCCGCTATACTATGCGTGGCAAAAAACTTTCAAGGGAGTAGAAATCAGTAGGCATGGGCATCTGGCCCGACCCGGCCCGACCCGTCCCGTTTAGGGCGACCCGTTAGCTTAACGGGTCGGGTCGGGTCGGGTTAGCGGGTCGGGTTTGACTCTGTTTTGGTGACCCGACCCGCCCCGTTGGAACGGGTATTTGTGACCCGTAACCGGGTCGGTTACACCACGGGTCGGGTCGGGTCGGATCAAAATATCCTACATAGCAGCAGGGTATGGTGGCGCCTTGGCGCTGCTCCAGGTGGCGTTCGCGATGCTGGAGGTGGAGACCGCGATTCTGGCTGGTGGCGTTCGCGCTACTGCAAGGCCGCTATCGCGCTATTGCGGGGATGTGATCCCGCCAATGCGTGGCCGCGATCGCGCTGCCCTAATGTGGTGCCGCGATCGCGCATATGCGGGGCCGCGATCGCGCTGCGCAAATGCGGGGCCGAGATCGCTCTATTGCGGGGACACGATCCCGCCAATGCGTGGTCGCGATCCCGCCAATGCGTGGCCGCGAGTGCGCTGCTGCGCCCCTGGTCGTGCGACACTGCGTAATGGCAGGAGCGCCTATGCCTATAATGAATATAAATATTAAAATAGTGCTAACATTGAAGTGAAGACTGTAAGAGTTTTGGTAGGTGCAGTGGAGATTTACTAACTTGATTAGAGACTGGATCTGAATGTCGAGGGAAACAAAACATCAAAACCAACTGATGTTCTCCCCCTCTCCAAATTGTACCCTAAGCAGAGAACGGGTCGAGTAACCCTGTCATTTGACTGGGTATGCGACCCGGACGGGACGGGTCAACCCGACCCGGCGGGTCGCTGATACCCGTCTATAAGTCACATTGACGGGTCACGGGTCGACCC